CAATCTCATCAACGGATGTCTTTCTAGAACAAGTCGTTGCATACTGTAATATTTGAATGGATAAGACTTTGGGGTGAGATCAAACCACAAAACATTTTTCGCGCAATATTTAAACTTGTGTTATTCAAATTATGTTACGCTGTTTTATAGACGGTGAATTATTTTCATAACTACGACGACTTCCTCACAGTCGGGCGTTGCGTATCTGTACAAAATTCTACCGTTATTTCCAAATCACCATTCAAAAGCTTTTCCTGTGCAGACCTTTCCATCTCGAGTCAGATATATAAGGTTCCCAGGGATTATTCATTAACAAATTATTTGTATATAGTTGTCAATGAGAGATTGTCTTTTCTGAGAAATGGTACACAAAAGACGATCTCTACATTCTTAACCTCTTCATGTCTACAGTTAATCGCTATTTATCCTACATAATTACACATATATTCTTAATCAGTAATCCTCTATCTATATATCCTATAATCCTGTATCTATAGACGCTTGTAACGTGTATTGATGGAAAATTTAGTTAAAATAATTAAACTAACTTGGTCAAATAACCAAAGACAAATTTTGAATATTACATTCATAATTAGTCTTAAATGTGAAAAAATCACATAACTACGAATAAATTTGCAGCTTTGATTACAATTTGTTCATTTTCCGAAAAAATGCATGATGCCAATGCAAAAGTAAACAATTTTTTTTAATTTAATAAAAGTATACTGTAAATTGCGTAATTTATATGAGAAAATAAAAATGTCCCTACAAACAAAACAATAATTTTCATTAACATTTAATTTATATAGAAATTTTTGTTTCTTCGGACATATGTGTTTTAGGCCCAGTGAAATAATTTTAGGCATACATTTATGCGTTTAATTTATATAGACAATTAAAATCTGTTAACTGCAACAGACTAAGAGAAGTAACATATTTAAATTATATTACCAACATACCTTGACAATTATTTATTATTCATGTATAACTGTCGTCAAAAAACGACGTCATTTTTTACAAAATATTGAGATTCAATGAAACGAAACATTTAAAACAATGAATTGAGATTGAATATAATGGCGATCGTGAATTGGCAACAGATATAAAAGGTCAATAAACGGTTTTACGCTTTCCTGATATATTTTGAAACCGTTTATTGATTTATCTGGCATAAGATAAATCACTTTTTGCTCAATGTCTTTTCATGTATTTCATATAACTGACACGAAATAGAAAGACGTCGCTAAGTAAATACTACCTATCTCAAGACCAAGTTAAAACAAGATTGACACTTAGACAATGATATCCGATAAGAAATGCTTGAACTGTAGAATAAGCACGTAATTAAACTGAACCTTTTAATCGGGAACAATTCGGTCTAAATAATCTATATATATTGTATAGATTATTAAAATGATTCAGTAGTGTAACTTTTCATAAATGAAATAACTTACGTTGATTTATCTTCCTTCCCACTGTAGGACTTAATACAAATATTACAGATTAATAAATGCACAATGTTAATTATTATATAGTATATTAACTATTCTGGAAAAAAAATTCATGTCGAATTACAAGCAAAGTTTCAGATCTGATTTAGAAATCATCTAACAGAGAGGATCTTCTCTGTTAATTCACATCAAAATGATAAAAAAAGAATTTATATTTACTAAAATTCAAACTTTTCTAAGACCGATTTACATTCATTTTCCCATATGGCAGTTCTGACCTTTGGAATAGTCCCAAATGCTTTTTTAAACACTATTTTTCAGTGTGTGTGTGTGCATGGTAAGTCAACGTTTGAGATCTCACCGAAAAAACAAGCCAAACACTTGTTTACATATTAAAAAAGGGAAGAAATTTCCTTTTAAGCCCCTCGAATATCATATATACTTACGAAATGTGAATAGTATCCTGATTTTGGGGCAATATCTCATTCTGATTGTTGTAGTTTTTCGTGAATCAATCTAATCAAATTTTTACTTAGAATTTACAATTTGAAATGCATTGCCAAAATTTAGTAAAAATGCAACCATTTTATTGATTTTTTTATTATTTAGTCGGTGAATTAATATTTGCGAGGAATTAACAGCAATGATCGAACGGAGATATATTAATAATTGAAGTAAATCAATTGAGAAGTAATAATTAAATGTGATAACTTTGAAACAACAACGTCATTTCAAAGTAATGTTTCAATATTTGCACTTGTGATATATCCTCATAATTTCTGAAAAAGGGTAAATTTGTCATGGCTAAATTTTTCCTTGTTGAAAATTCACAAATCGACACTGTCACGAGAGGGAATATATATGACAAAACAGGAAAATCCTAAACACAAATACCGGACCGACTTATTTTGGATTTCATTGAAGGCGCCAGTCAAATCCAAGAAGAATACATTTTTAATTACCTCAAAGTTTTAGGAATAACTTAAGCTGTATATACCCTATGTCGCTTGTCTAATGAAAAGCTTAGTTTGCCGACAGTTGTTCTTAATCCTACCAAACGAATCATGAGATTAATCTTAGTTTGATCTCCATAAATAACAAGATAATTACATAATCTATATTGTAAATAGAACAACTATTTTTCTCATATAAGAACTTTCCACTGTGTCCTTCGAATCAATGTCATCGCGAAAAGTGAGAGCGTATTGCTCAGAAATGTCTATATTAAATTCTGCTGGCGGTTCTTTTTTTTTTTTTAATCAATTCACCCAAACATGAAGTTAACGCTACTGAAAGTCAAGGGCCTAGTGTAAGTGAAAGGGAAAGGGAATATCAGCCTTTAGAAATAATTGGAAAACAAAAATAGTAGAGATTTTACAGTTTATGCGGAAACGTTAGAAGTAGATATTTTAAGTAAAATTTAGAATGAAACAAAAACGCAGATCTATACAGGAAACAAGGGATAAACCTCTATTCCTGTTCAAAAGACCAGCGAGGAATGTGGACCAGACGATACGCAAAAATTCAAACTGACAAAAAACGAGATTTTTTTCTTGGATGTTCAAATGCAAAACTACGAAAATCGATTAAAAATAACAGGCTCATTATTGCTTCGTGGTTTTAATGACCCGTTGGTATACTGGAAACCCTTGTGAACAAAAGGATCTCTTTCTCCCTCCCTCCCTCCCGCTCTCTCTCTCTCTCTCTCTCTCTCTCACTATATATATATATATATATATATATATTAAACGTGAAAATAATAAACAAAATTAAAACTTCTTGAAGCTATATACATATGACACTTGAAACTTACCCTGAACAAAGTAAAATATGAAATCTCCACAAATATTCTTAAATGCCTATAGTTTATAACAAAAGGGATTGGTTTATACCAACGGCTTCCCATACTTAATACTTCTCGTTTTCTCTCTCGTGTGGTCATTTGTGACGTCACGAGCTGCGGTGGGATTTTCGCTTCTGCGTCTCGTATACACGCTATTTGTTGTTGCTTGGAATTTTTTTCATGCAACAAAAATAGACTATCATTATTCTTTTGTCCGTGTATTGTTTAATATATTGAAATGTATTTGCTATCTTTGATAATGGCTTATGTAAACCGAAAGCTTAGATAGGATTAAAAAACATGTATCAATATTGTGATTTTCTTTCATCTTTCAATGATAATGTTATTAAGTTTATAAGACAATATGAAAGGATTTTACTTAAAATAAATAGACAAAACTTGTCTATATTATTTAATGAAACATGCATGAATATATATATATATATATATATATATATATATATATATATATATATATATATATGCGTGTGTGTTTTGTCATATAGGAATAAAGAGTTGCTACCAACACTGGAGTTTGAACACAAATCTCCAGCGAGAAAACACATGATCTAAAAGGAAATGTATATATCAGAAATAGTGTGGCGTCTAACCTGTATTACAATACAGATCGCTCTTCCTACTCTATTATTATAAGGAACGCTATTCTCGATACTATTCACGATACTATTTCTCTATACGGATTACTATTCGGTGGTTACTGTCCGAGCGAGTACTATCGAGCAAGTACTATAAGTGAGTGTGTTATTCGAAGGCGTCTGACACCAGTATTGTTCAACGGCGTTACTATAGTTGTATCTACGTTTACAAAGTCTCTACTACAACGAGCATTACGAAAGCGACAACGTCCATTGCGTTGGCATCACAAAAGTGGCAACGTGTGTTGACATCCAAGAAAAATATATATATATATATATATATATATATATATATATATATATATATATATGTGTGTGTGTGTGTGTGTCTCAAACTAATTTAATATTCCCTGTATTATATATATATATATATATATATATATATATATATATAAGGTTCAAACACTGATATTCCATGGTTATAATTTATTACACTGGGTCGTAATCACGATCAACTCATCAGACCTACAAATTCGAAAATTTGAATTTGTAGGTCTGATGAATTGGATCGTGATTACGATTCCAATGTTAGGAATTATAACCATATAATATTAGTGTTTGAGCCTTTTATATTATATTCTTACTCTGTCCTGGACATTGAGTTCTACCTGGATTCGATCCTCTTGAATATATATATATATATATATATATATATATATGATATACTAATTTTATATATCTATTTATCCTATCTAAATTTATATATATATATATATATATATATATATATATATATATATATATATATATATAAAGAGAGAGAAACAGAGAGAGAGAGAGAGAGAGAGAGGCGGGAGGAGAGAGGGGAAGATTTAGAATATGATACATGAAAATTTTGAATAAATAGATAAATATATTTATATGATTTTATGAACTTATTTGTATTGAAACCTGACAAAATGATGGATTATATGTAAATTTAATTCCTTAGGTTCCTTACGAATGGACAGCTTTCTTCTCATTACGTTCAAATAGAATGTTTTTAAAAATCTCTTAATATACATAGCATTATTTCATTTCTTCTTCAATGTCTTTCACTTACTCAGACCTATGACAGACCAATATTCATGTTTTTTACCAAATGAATTACATTGGCCAAGACCCGTACAATACTTTATTGCTTATTTGTCAGAAATAATAATTAATAATGATGGTAATATAAGCTTTCTTTTTCTACTCTCCTTACTCTCTATTTCTTCTCTTCTTACTCTCCTTTTTTCCTTTCTCTTCTCTCTTTACTCTACGTATTTTCTCTTTTCTCTCACGATTTCCTCTCCGTCTTCTCAACTTATTTTCCCTCTGTTTTATTTTCACTTCTCTCCTTATATTATCTCCCTCTTCTCTCCTTATCCTCTTTATTTTATCTTAAGAATCTCCTTATATTTTCTTTATTTTATCCCCCTCTTCTCTCCTTACCCTCTTTATTTTATCTCCCTCTTCTCTCCTTATCCTCTTTATTTTATCCCCCTCTTCTCTCCTTACCCTCTTTATTTTATCTCCCTCTTCTCTCCTTATCCTCTTTATTTTATCTCCTTACTCTCCATATTTTTCTCTCCCTTCTCTCTTTACTCCCCATATTTTCTCGCCCTTCTCTCCTTACTCTCCATATTCTCTCTCTTCTCTCCTTACTCAATATATTTTCTCTCTCTTCTCTCTTTACTTTCCATATTTTGTCTCTTATCTCTTTACCCTCCATATTTCCTCTTCTTACTCTCCTTATTGCCATTCTTTATCTTAGGTTTATTTTCTTTGTTCTCTCGTTCTTTCTCTCCTTATTTTCATTCTGTTCTCTCCTTATATTTCTCCCACTCCTTAATTCTCTCCCTCGCCCTTCTTGTTTCTGGGTATTTAATTACCCTTATTCAACTTTCTCTTTCTCCTTATTTACCCTTTCTCTCTCTCCTTATTCACGCTTTATCTCTCTCTCTCTCTCTCCTTATTCACCTTTCTTTCCTCTTCCTTGTCCGCCTCCGCGTCCTTTTTCACAATCATTATTCTACTGTTATTACCATAGCTGCTTGCAACTTTTAACTTAAACATATTGTGAAACGATTATCGCGTACCCATATTATTCCATATGCGGGAAGAATTCTTTTGTTTGCTTTACAAATCAGATATTTGAAGTTCTGACCTTTGCTTAGTGTCGAAAAGCGACCGAACTGCCTGAGGATATACGGGTCGCTTAAATGTTATAGGTATGGAAAAACAGCTTAATCTCTAACGTTCACTTTTTCATAAATACTCTTGAGGAAGGCATGAATCCACATCTTCTCCCCCCAGCTATTAATTAACTAGCAGAATAGATTAGGATCTCCAGCCTTGGATGGAAGAAAATCTTATATTGATTTCAATATCGTGGCGAAGGTAACGGTTAAACCTTCCATTATTTTTTTCAAAGATTTCATTGGAAAGTCCAGATTGATTTCTAATGTAACAATACGATTTCTCACCCATCCTTAGGATATAGATAGATAAATTCCTTTTAAGTCAATTTAATTACCAACGTTTTCATGATTCCTGTCTCTAGCCTGCCTTTGAATTGGCAAACATAAAATTTTCTTAGTGATTTTAGATAATCATAAAACTGATCACCCATCCAGCTTTTGAATGGTTTCCTTTTCCGGAAAACAAGTGGGCTTATAGCGAGTATCCATATAAGCAAAGAGATGCAGGAAGGCAGCAGTAAGGTAGCAGAGAGGCAGTCAGTGACCAGCAACCAGTGAGGAAGGAACGGGCAATCAGTGAGCAGAGAAGTCACCTAGATACCAGTGAATGTAAGGGTGCTCTTTTCAAGACCGGAAGTTAGTAAGATAGCAGTTTACCTCAACCAGCTGGAGGAAGAATACTGCGGTTAAGCGAGAAATCGTACTGATTCTGCCTATATTTCTGAGATGAGATATTATGTACACTATTTACATTATTCGGACTATTGTCCTCAACTTTGTCGCCAAATTTATTACAATCTTCCGGCCTGGCTTCGTCCATTTCATATATATATATATATATATATATATATATATATATAAGTATTTCTACATATAAGCAGAAATTTTTAGTTATATTTATATATGTACGTATATGTATATATTCACACATTTATAGATATACCTGATATATACACTCATTATATACACATTTACATATCCATATACAGAGTGACATACAAATGTATATATCTATATATGCACATATACATATAAACATATTTATTTATATATCTGTATATATACATATTTATATATATTATATATTTAAATTCAAATATATATATATATATATATATATATATATATATATATATATATATATATATATTGTGTGTGTGTGTATTTAGGCTATAATTTTCATTCATTCATGTTTCATTAAATAGTATAGATAATATTACGCAAAATAAATAGACCACACTTGTCTCATTATTTAATTTGTGTATGAATATATATATATATATATATATATATATATATATACATTTATATATATATATATTTATAACTCTGACTATATGCATTAAAATATATATATATATATATATATATATATATGCAATCATCCGTTGCTTTATAATCCAAATGGATCCTATTATTACAATATTAAATATTAAATATTAAATCTCAATAACACATAGCTCAATGTTTTAATTAAACAGAGTATCATATTTTTATACAATAAGAATTAAGATTGCATTAGGTTAATGATCATTTTCACCTCGTCAGATGAAATAAAATTTACAAAGATTTTTCAAACCAGTCAATGCATGATATATTTTTGAAATAAAACTGGACAAACAGTGAAAAAAATGCAAAAAAAGAAAAGCCTAGCAAATAAAAACAAGGAATAAGTCTGTTTGTGAAAATGGTTAGATATTGAAAACACAAAGAAAAATCGGGGAAAAAAAAAAAAGAAAGAATATTTTTTTTTTAATTTAAACACAGTAGCAGACAGAGGACAGTTCACAATGACTTCATAAATGTATTAACAAAAATAATATATTAAATAAAGAGATAACCACATTTATATGAAAGAGACATAATTGAGAATTAAATAAACAATATATAAAAAAAAGAAGAAAAATGAAATTATATTAATTTCATTTTTTATATTTCATATGATATTATATATCATATAAAATATTATATTTATATGGATTATGATTATCATAGATAATTATAATCATTTCACTTAATATGATATTTTTTTTCCATATAAACTGAAATTATTATAATTATCTAACTTAAAATCTACATTTAAATCAACATATTTAAAGTTATATTAAATAATTCCCATCTACATAGAAAAGATAATTAATATTTATCATCTAATATAAAATTAAATGAACCAGTCAGAGGAAAATTGTATAAAAGAAAAAAAATCACTATAATTAGAAAAATGTGCCTTTAGAAAAAAGTGAAAGAAGGCATGCCTTTTGAATTAATTATATACGATAACATTATATATTAATAATTTCATATATTAACTTAAGTAATTAACAGTAAAAAAAAACATGTTTAAATAAGATTTTTAAATATTTTTTTTTACTATTAATTATTTTGGTTTTTTTCCATTTTTCCCCCTGGCATTCTTTCTTCTGTTTTTAATTTTTATTTCAATAATTTATCATCCGTTGGTTGGCTTATAATTGTTAGTTTGATAGATAAATATATATATATCGATATATATATATATATATATATATATATATATATATATATATATATATATATATATATATGACGTCGTCCCCTGGTCGCAGCGCCAACTGTGACGTCCTATCCTGGTCTACCACGGCACCAACTGTGACGTGACCTCGCCGCGGCGCCAGCTGTTCGCTCCTCGCTGCTCCGTTCGGGTGTCGCTGCTCCAAACGTGACGTCCGCCTGTCGCGTCAGTCGTGTTGTCTCGTCCTGTGACGACCAACTGGCTTGGTATCGGTCGCGGCACCCAAATGTGACGTTCTAACCTTTTGGTGATTCGGGTGAGAATCTGGTTAGATTTGATATCAGCCTCGTCGTTCCCAACTCGCTTCCAACGCCTGGTTACCAAAGTAACTGCATTGATCTCCAGTCTGCCTACCCACGTTGTGAATTGATCTTAGGCAGACGAGATCAATCAGTAGTTGGGGCCGTAATGCAAATCGGGTTCAACGGGGGTGATACCACACAAATATGCATAAAAGAAAATAAAATGAAAACTCAAAAGTTCAAGGTATCAAAAAAAAGGATAACAAACTTTATGTCTAGTTGTTCGATACATAGGACTGCGTCTATCTCCCGACCCGTTCTATGGATTGTGACACGTTGTTTTCCGTTAGGCGAGTTTTAACGCTTCAAGTTGTTTGCTCTTTAAGAAATTGGTTTTTCGGTGTGTCTTCGGACGAAAGTCGAAAAAAAAAAAACTTATTTTGGTGGTCTGGATCTAAGTCGCTCTTCAAAATAATTGTTCTTGGATTGAAGAGGAGTCCGGAATTTGCGTGAATCTTTCAGTCAGCTATCTGCGAGGCTTCAACTTCAACTGGAGACTGAACTCTGGAACTGAACTGAAACGAACTGAAAACTGATTTCTGCTCGCTGCGGCTTCGCTTATATGGACGCCGACCAAAACCGGGGTGGGTTTGTCGGCGTCGGGGGTTCCTCGATAATTCTAAATACATATCCACCTCTTTTATTTCTGGTTAGGAATTTTCCACTCTTTTTTTTTCCATTTTTGGGAGCCTTTTCTTACTCCCACCTTCTCCCCATACTTCAGAGGGCGTGAACTGCCCTCCCCACTTCTTTCGTAGCAACTTCTCATACCGACCAATCCTCTGGATGGGCGGCGACAGTTTCTTTCGTGCGTCACGTGATCACCACTCGACCAATGATGTCTTAGTCGGGCGTGGACGAATCCGCGGCTTTGTTTCAAAAAAAAATATCTTGCTTAAAAAAAAAAAATTATCTTTTCTTTTTTTTTTCCTTTTTAATCGCAGTTATCATTTCTCTAGCCGCAAACAGGACAATACGAACGATGGTGGTCATAACTCTTGTTCTCACCTGGACTTCGTCAGTCATTTTATCGCTAATTATCAGAATGGGTGGTCTTTTTAACACGGCCAAACGTCGCCCCGAAAAAAACATTTCTGGGTTCCCATTCATTTCATTTTTCGGTACACATTTCTGATAACATAATTTTTTATTATCGCAGGCTAAAGATGTTCCGTCGAAAGAAATCGGTCAGTCGACACATCGTGTGCGGCTTTTTTTAATTTTTCATATCTATCCAAAGCCCTTTAGTCCACCTGTTTTCCGTCACTTATCAAAATAACATTTTCATTTGATTTTTTTTCTTCGGTCAGTTTGTTTACGTAATCAGATCCCAGCGGTTTGTTTATGTATCCCAGATAACACAGCCGTCGCCAAAACACACCTTTTGATTTTTTATCTTTTTTCCTCAGAATTTCCCTGTCATTGTAATGACATTCTTTCGCCATTTGTTACTTATCAAAATATCCTTTTATCCATTGTCTCTTAGCCGTGGTGTTCTGCTTATCATCCACGCTTTGGGTCTTTTCCTTTCTTTCCTTTTCTTTTTTTCTTTTCTTTTTTTGCCTCGTTAAATGGTGCCATATATATATATATATATATATATATATATATAATTATATATATATACTGACTACTTACATACAAATGAATGTTTTTTTTTTCATCTACGTTGTCATATTCACGACGTTTCAACTGACTAGAATTATAAACACAACATGAGAACAAAAACCAAAAACATTTTATTCAAAAGATCATGACGCTCACATGAAAACTCAACAAACAAAATTTGACATGTTTTTCAGAAACCCGGTTTCCACAAGTCATAATGAGATATCAATGTTGGTTTCATGCTCAAATAAGTCAATATTATACTGATGACTTCCATTTTACCAGAATGTCTATTTACTCACATTCAGTCGCTGCTTTGATCTTGTCTGGAATTGGAAAGAATTTGCTTGAAAAAAAAATTATGATATTGTGTATTTATTCCACATTTGTTCTGTTCAGAGATCA